TAGCACAGAGAAAGCACACATAGAAGAGCGAGAGAGTGAGAATATGAAAGAGAGAGGAAGGGAGAAAGAGAGAGAGAAAGGATGAGGGTCGAAGAGCATGGAAAACGAGAGAAGTTTCGTCGACAACCCCGAGAGAATGTATCCTACAAAGCGTTGGAGAACGGTGAGGTCGAGCTACCGTGAGAAAGATGAGAGGGAGCAAAGAAGAAGAAGAGAAGGAAACAGAAAGAGAGAGAGAGAGAGAGAGAGAGTAGTACACCAGGAGGCCAGGAAATTACGTCTCCGGATGTCCGTTCGTTCGGCTTCAGAGCTTTCTGGAAAGGCACGCCACTGCCAACGTTGACGACGACACGACGAGGACTCCAGCGAATACGGGTTGCAAGCTAAGGCACAAAACCAAAAGAGAGAAAAAGACGCAAATATTACCTCTAAAATTAGAAAGAGAAGTAAATATAGAAAACGGGAGAAAAAGAAAAAGAAAGAGATAGAAGGAGAATGACAAATAGAAAGAAACAGAAATAGTGAGTAAGAGAGGGAAAGAGTGAGTGAGAAAATAAAAAGGGTAAGGAATAGAAAGAGTCAGAAATAATAAAAGAGCGAAAAAAATAGTAAGAGAAATAATAAGACAGAGAGAAAAAGAGAGAGAGAAAGAAACAGAAAGGAAAATAAAGAATAAAACAGAAAGAAAGAGAGAGAGAGAGAGAGAGAGAGAGTGAACAAAATAGAAAGAGAAGGGAGGATATGTTTATGTGAAATAGTCAAGTATGTGTGTGTGTGAGAGAGAAAGAAACAGAAAAGTCGGAGGAAAGCTAGCTTGAAAGATTTTCGAGAGCTTTTATCTCAACGAGTGTGTGAAAGATGGAAAAAAAAAGAGAGAGAGAGAAAAAGAGAAAGAAGGAAAGAAAGAATGAGCATCCAAGCCGACGCGTCCTGTCGCCTCAACCCATCTTAAAACGTTCGTGACAAAAAGAAATCCTCCTGCGAGTAGACGCGGAATCATCCAAGACAGACTGTGCGATAACGCCAACTAACCGCAAACTACCCTAAGAACTTTACCTAACGTTCTTTCCGAGGCTCTCTGATTCTTCTTAAAGGATGAACACAGTTAGGATGATCTTTTGTGGATGATAGAGATAGCTGTGAATTATTCTTGATTTATACGATTAAAATAATGTTAAGCGAACAATAAGAGAAGAGATATTCATTTATTTATTTCTTTTTATTATACATTTTTTATCTCTATGTCGATTTTATTATAAGATGTTATTTTTTCTTTTATGATAAAATTATGATCAACTAAGTGGAATTATTATTTGTAGAAAATGATACAATAGTTATTGGATCATAACGAGAGAAGTGATCTCGTACACGCGTTTATAAAAATAACTCTTTCGCCAATCTACGAAATTAATTAAAAATTATTTTCAAGAAGTATATTTATTGTTTGGGGAAAAAAAAAAAGAATAAATGTGAATTTATAATACGTTCATGCACAATGTATGTATATAACGAAACGTTAAATATATTTATAAAATAATAAATTAGTAAACCAGTAATAATTAGGAAACACAAAATTACAAATTCATTAAGATGGTAACAAATAACTCGTACACACATGTAAACATATATATATTTATATGCAACGAAATATAAAATTTCATTTATTCTAAATATGCACTTTTAATAAATAATGAAGTAATTCTAGAAATGGAAAACAAAGCGTTATAAATAAACGAGGCTAATGAATAAAACCATATTACAGTAATATATTCTTCTATATATATATATATATACACTCAACACACACACTTACATATATATATATTTATATATAAATACACACGATATAAATAGGATGAAACATCGAAACTAATTTTCTCCAACGGGAACAGTTATAATTGTGTGACACGTAGCATGAGATAAAGTTAGCAAATAGCATTCGATCTCTTTGAGGTATATAATTTCGAAGTGCATACGATTCGATAACATTGACGGTCTTCCTCCATGTTCCGCTTATTAATCCGAGCGTGTCTCGAAGTGATAATCAAAGGCGAGCGAATCTCTCCGAGATTCGACTCTCGATTCCCATGAAACTAAATCGAATGAGAAAGAGACAGATAGATGGATAGATAGATAGATAGATAGATAGAAAGAGTAAAAGAGAAAGAGAGAGATAGAGAAAGCCGAAGGACGACGGTTGTTCAGAACAGAAGAGACTTTGCTGAGAGATTCAATGTAGAATTGAGTCGAATAGTATCTCCGATAAAGAGAGACCGATAAAGATAGAGACAACGAGAGAGAACAAGAAAGAGAAAGAGAGAGAGAGAAAGAGAAAATGACCAAGTCGATCGTAGGAAAAAACGACAACGTGAATGCCCGGCCAACCGTAAGGTGATTCTATCGAGATCATTATTTTTACGCTCGCACGTGATATACATAGAAAATGTATCCCATTATCGTCGTAACTGAAAATTACCTCTCCAAGGATGATGATGATGATGATGATAATGGGGAATAGGGGAAAAGAAAAAGAAAAAAGAAAAAATATACGTTAATAGATATCTAATTAAAAAATGTGCGTTGAAAACTTTTTCCACTATGTCACTATAACAAACTCATCACCACTACAACCCACCACCATCAACGTTACTACCTACGTAAGAATCCAATATTATCTCACGAGATACGTTTTCTACCATTAACTTGTACTAATTACATCCGTAGAGAAATAAAGGAATAAATCTCGATAAAAATAAATAGAAGAATAAGATAGGGAGGAAGGGAAAAAGAAATAGAGAGAGAGAGAGAAAAAAAATATAAAAATACAACCGTGTAATTCAAACTGCGTCCTATTGAATCATGCATGAACGTAAAGAAAAAGGGAAAGAGTGGAAGCTCGATAAAAAAAAAAATATCAACAAAGAATGAAAAGGAAAGAAAAGGAAAAAAGAATAACTGTGTAATTCAAACATCGTTCTATTGAATCATGCATGGACGTATAGAAAGAGAAAAAGAAAAAGAAAGACAGTAAGAGAAAGAGAGAGAGAGAGAGAGGGAGAGCTCGTTGAAAATAAAATTACAAGGAGAAAACAAATAATAAAAAAAAATCAAGAACAGGAAACAAAATATATTTATAAAAGTTCGTTTGAAAAAATATTAGGGGAGAAAGAAGAAGAAAAAGATGAAGAAGAAAAAACAAAGGAAAATAAAAAAAAAAAATATTACGGTGTAATTCAAACTTCGTCCTATTGAATCATGCATAGTATCTTAATCTCCGTGGTATCGCATCGAACTCGAGCTCGCACAAGCGTGTCGTTAGAAGAAACTACCCTTCCTTCTTTCCTGCTGAAATTTTCTAGCGGAACGAATAATATTATTCGAAAGAGTTTATCCCCCTTCCATGACAGCAAACTCTCTTTCTCTCTCTCTCTCTCTCTTCCTCTTTCATTTACAACTTTTTCTCTTTAATTTATACAAGCCGTTCGAAAGGAACGTTAGCGTAGATAACTATAGGTATATCATAGTTGCTCTCTTATGGATCGTAAAACACATAAACCGTGTAGCAGCAGTCAAGACGATCGTTTTGCCAGAACGGTGATATTACGGCCATTATGGGGGAAACCACCAGATAGATTATTCCAGTGTCAAGAATCGATTATAATTATGATACATGCATGCTTTGTCATATTACGTGAATAACATACTATGAATATCAATGTTCTCATCATATTTCGAAATTTCTGTCTTCGATCGATAATTATTAATACACGCACGATTGTTCTCTTTTCGTGAAACGTTTATTGCCGATAAAAAAAAAAAATGTCAACATTTCTTTGCAGCACCGAATATATCAAATTTATTTTAAATAATAACAAGGACATTTATTCAAATTCACACCACCCGTGTACTATATGAACAACGCGTGAGACATGGAACTAATTTTGTGGGTCAAACGTAAAGAACACGAAATGGCATGCAACCCTGAATGTTATTATATCATGGTATAAGGAGTTTATTATTAATTCATTCAAAATATATAAACCTTTTTGAGTGACATTTATGATGATTTATACGAGATATTTCGTAGTCCTGCACAACAATAAATAAAACTTGCATATCCTTGCTACGAGATATCTCGTAATCAGCAGAAATGAATTAATCGTGCATACACGCACATATACACAAATCGAATAAATAATAAATAACAATTATATATATATTTATAAAAAGCTAACAAGAGTTATATTTAATGAAAAATTCAATTGTTCGTATTCGTTAAAAATAAAAAGGAAATAAATAAAAAGAAAAAATGATAAATTTATCTATACGTTTGTGAGCGTGGATAAACCTGAAAGCTTGAAATGAAAACGTTTTCGATCGGAATCTCGTTCCTCTCCTCGTAATCTTTCTTTTCCTAACGTTAGAGAAACGTACACGTTAACCTTTATTAAATTTCCAATAGCAAGCAACAGAAGCAGAAGAGGTCACGTACACGTTCTTACCGAACGGAAACCGAGATACTCTCTCACTTAGAGTACATACATACAATGCAAGAGACTACTGAAAGAGTAGAACGAGAAAAACCTTTAATAAATACAATAAAATGATAATAAGATATTTTTCGGTTCGAAGTTGTTCGATCAAAGTATAACTGTTCGAAAATTAATCAAATAACGATTATATATTTTTCGAAGTTCTTCCTGAAAAAAAGAAAAAAAAAACATCCAAATCTGGATTTTTTTTATAAAAAAAAAGAAAATTAATTACCTTTCTTCCTCGTTTTTCTCGAATAATCGAAATTATATTCGATTTACGACGATCGATGGAAAACCTTTCTCTTAAAACGATACGACAAATATAAGAATTATTGTAAAATAAAAAAGAAAAAAAATTAAAAAAGTAAAATTGTACAAGAGGTAGAAAAATACAAGCTGAAATAGTATATATATGTACGTTTAACGTGTCCTGTTTGGAATAAAATGTCTGTAGCACTCACTCACCTTGGATTTCCACGAAGAGCAGCATGGTGAAGCGCATTGAAGCCATTATTGTTGGTAAGTGTGATGTCCGCAGCGTGATCCAACAAAAGAGCCAACATATCGTCCCGTTTCTTCGATATTGCATCGTGAAGAGGTGTGTCACCCTCGGAGTCCTACCAAGAAATAACAAAGAAAATTTTCAGTTACAATATTTATATATTATTCTCACAGCTAAAGTAACCTTGTATTGAGATAAATGTTATTCTGGATTCAAAAATAAAAACTTTTAATAAATATTATATACGTATTTTGAAAAAGAGAAAGAGAGACAGAGAGAGAAATAAATAAACATATTGTTATGTATCACTATTTAATGTTGATTATATTAATTGAAAAATAAATGCTTAGGCTCAATATTTGTTGACTTTCGAAACATTTCAATCCGCCTTCTTATACTTCGTTAAATCATTTCTTTATTTATACGTTATTTATAATATCGAAACAACAAAAAATATATAATAAGCAATTATAATTAGTTTAATAAATCAAACAGAAAAAAATTCGAAAATCAAACTTAATTAACTTACTGTTGATTTTCTTACGATCAAATACCAAAAACAATATAAAAATAATCAATACGCATTTGTATCTTCTCGACGATTTACGTTAAACAACATATTTCAAACTATTATATTACGCAATTAGAATAAAATTTGAATTTTACCCACGCAGATATAGAAAATAGATTCCAATAAAAATAACAAAGAAATCATTTCTTCCGATGTAAAAGGAAAAAAAAGGTTAATAAGTAAAACCAAATTTTTTTTTTCAGACGAGAAAAAAGAAATCCAATCGTAGAAAAATACGAAACGAAAAGAGGGACGCATATTTTTCTGTTTTCCTTTTTTCCTGGGATGTAAAAAAAAAAAATTAAGAAAGTAAAAGAAGAAGGAAGAAAAATAATAAGAAACAGAATGGAGAAAAAAAGAAAGAAAAAAAGAAAGAAAAAAAAAAGAAAGGGTAGAAGAAGGAACGTAGAATATAACGATCCCCTCGGAACTGTCTTCGACGAAGCGAAACCCGTTGTTGGCTTTCGTTCGTTGAGTTCTTCCACAAGCGACTTGCTACCAAGTACATGCAAGTTTCTCGCAATAGCGTGTCCGCTTATAAACTTGCTAGTTTAGTAGTACGATAACCATGCCGAGAGGCAGATACGGCTACCCTACTCGGGATGAGATGCTAAAGAGAAAAGAAAAAATGGGCTAGGTTTATACGTTGAATAAAACGAAAGACAAAAACAAAGACTAAAAAGATAAAGAGAGAAAGTAAAAGGGGCAAAAAAAAAAAGAAAAAGATAGAGAAAAATATGTAAAAAGGGATGTTGTGTGTGTTAAAAAGAAAGAGAAAGAGGGAAGGGATAAATTAGTGCGCAAAGTTAAAATTACGAACTGACTTTTTGGAGAAAAATAATAATAAAAAATATATAAAATAAAAAAGAAATGAAAAAGAGAGAAAGAGAGAGAGAGAAAGAGAGAATACGTAAAGTAAATCGTAAGAAATTTTCTTCGTACTTCGACAAAACGTTTTTGACGCTCTTTCTATCCTTTCAGAATGAAAGAGAAAGAGAGAAAGAGAGAGAGAGAGAGAGAGAGATAGAGATAGAGTAAATAAAATAAAAGAGGTGGAAACCAAAATGGTTGGAAAAAAAGTAGTCGAAATTCCGAGAGAAAATTC